CCCCGCGCCGCGTCACCGCCCACGCCACCGAACCCCAGCTCAGCGCAGGGGACCCCGCCGCGCCCTCACCTGCCCGTAGGGATAGGTCGCCATAGCGCTCACCACGGCCGGCCCCGCCCCTCGCGGCGATTGGACCCCGCCGCCCCACCCGCGCCGCCCATTGGCTCCGCGGGACGTCCATCCCGCTGCGTTGCCGGGGTGCGAGGCACGTGGTGCGGAAGTGCCGCCTGGGGGTCTTAAAGGGCCCGCGCTGCTGCGGCCTGCTGGAGGCAGTTTCTAGCTGGCTTCTGGAGCAGTTGCAGTTGCAGGGCTTCGAGGGGAGTCTGGGACATGCTGGATCTTCTTAAAAGAGGTGGAAAAAACCCCTCCGGTTGAGCGTTGTTGGTCTGGGGCTGCATGCATGGAAGTGAGCGCCGTGCAGAAACACCGCGTCTGTCCAGATCTGCCACCGCGGTGCGGGCTGCGGGGCTGGGGAGTGTTGCGCTCCTGCCACCCGCGTTCAAATCTGTTCCTATCACTGGTGGGGGTCATTTATCAACCAGTTGTGTCGCCGTCTTAAATCCCGCTACACTAAACTGCAATTCGTCGTCAACCACTGGTTAATAAAAGAAAGGGGTGGCAAGGGTCCGCATGCTGTTCTTAACAGAGATGACATATGGAAAGCAAGAGGGTCCCGCAGTGCAGAGGGGGCCTGATACAAGTCCAGATCCCGTGCAAAGATTCATGATGAACGCACCCACCGAGGGCCTTGTCTGGGGTCCGGCTCGGGTCCTGTCTGCTGTTGGACCAGAGCCTTCAGCTCGTTCATCCTAAAGGAGCGGTGGCCAAGCTGTACAGAGCCGCAGCGAAACGCAGGCACGTCTTGGATTCCAGTGTTAAATCGGGAGGTCCGATAGAGCTGGTTGCATGGCTCAGCTTCCTGCGTGGCAGCGCGCCGTCGCGTGATGTACCAGGCGCTGGTGGCAGCAAGATTACCCAGGGCCAGGCCGGCTGGGATCGGATGGTTCCCCCGCATGAGCGGTTCTGCCGCTCTCCTCCCCCCCAGTCACAGTCACAGTTTTCTTGTCATCGGCCAACGCAACGCATGCATGGAGCAGGCAGGTTTCTCCCGGGTGTTTGATTTAGCCAGCTGGCCTTTGCAGGAGGGACGTTGCACATAACTATCACGGGTTCTGGTAACAAATAATGCCTTTATGGCCCTGCAAGGGAGTCTGCTTGCTTTTAATGGAAGAAATGCTAGGAAGCTAGTTGCTGATCCTACTCTCAGCTCCTGTTTCCGCTGTAAGCCCAACCGTTCCCTGGGACTGAAATGGAAACGACCAAGGAAGGCTGCGATCGGGGGTGGGGTACAAGAGGAAGAGCAAGCATCAGAAATCGCCCAACAAAGGAAGGTTGGCTTGTGTTGAAGACATCTGACCGGCACCCACGTCCCTTAAATTCATGCACAAACAATGCTTCCCTTCCTGACCTACACCACAGTCACGCACTCGTGCGAAGGCACTCACATGCAGCGCGCACACCTACTCGGACGTTGCTTTTTCATCCCCTGGTGTAGATCCTGGATGTTCCACCGAGAAAACCAGCCGGTAGGGTATATTCCAACTCTTTGAGGTCCGTCCGTCACCGGTACGCATTTTGCAATGTGAGGGTTCACGCAGATTTATTTATGCTTGGAGGGATGCGCTGGCAGAAGCTCAGCTCTTTCTTCAGTCGTTCTTGTGAGAGGACCTACGCAAGACTGTTAAAATGTTGCTAAAGAAACCAAAAAAAGACAAAGCCATGGGCTGGAATGTAATTTATTAGTTCTGCCTTGTTTGCTCAACCTGCTTTGAGGAGGAAAGCAAAATCCTTTGCTGGGATACAGATCTGACAAGTTGAAACCAATTGCTCAGCTGTTGTCTTTTAACATCTGAAACAGGGGACGGGGCAGCCGTTAGCAATCCAGCTGTTGCGTCTAAAGCTCAGACGCTTGTTTTTCAACCGAAGGGGGAAAGCTGTGCTTTGCATTCACGGCCAGCGAGCTTCCAGATGGATCTGCGTCACGGCTACGAGAAGAGCCACTAAAGTCTGGCAGAAGGCGCCAAAAAGTGGCTTGCTTAATTCAGTGTGTTGAGCTGAATTTCTCCCTCGTGCTGCACCCCAACGAGAGGAGCAAGACTTGGAAACGAGCTCTCCGCGAGGAACGAGCCACGCTGGTGCCGGACAGACGGCAGAAGGCTTCCAGAGGTTAGTAAAGATGATGCTGGCATGTTACAAATGAAAGGAGCGGCAGAGCATGGAAGGCGACACAAATGGGAAGCACGTGGGGTAGCGGGCCAGTCTGCTCACTCCTGAGAACAGGGACCTGGCCATCGAACGGCAGGACCTACAAGCCTGCATGCAGGGCCAGGCGCGTGTCATGGCCAAGTTGGCTAGGAGGCAAGGCTGTTATTCTCCCTCCACTGACTTCAAGTCCCAGGGCCTAAAGTGCGGGTGGTGGAAAGGGAAGAAGTAATGAATGAAATGGAGTAAGACGGGAGGCCTCCGGAGGCGGGGGGTTGTGCATGGCAATGAGAAGCAAAAGGCACCATCATGAAATGTATTTTGGCTGGTCACGCATGACAATTCCCTTTAAAGACACGAGAAGAGACGTACATACACCCACAAATGCCGTCGGGGGAGGTTTGACCCCACTGGAAAAACCAAAAGGAGAAAACCAAAATATTAACAGCAATAAAAAATACTTCACGACCAGTCGCGAGGACTAGAGCTTTGGCTGTCCCCAATGGAGTCCTTTGTGCAAACACCCTGCCGCGTCACTCAGCCTAAAGGTCCTTTCATGTTTTTGGGCTGGTACATGGGCTGCTCCAAGGGCATCATGCCGAAGCAATCTGAAGGGTTACAGTGGCCAGTCTTCCCAGGTTGCCCCGTAGCGCCCGGTGGTCCAGGAATGC